CCTGCCCCCGGCACCCCGACCCCCGCCCGCGGGTCCCGGCCCCTCCGCCAGCCCCCGTCCCAGCAGCGTCCCCAAAGCCCGCACGAGACTTCCCACGGGGCAGAACGGCAATCGTGTCCTTGCCCTTAACAGCAAGGTGGGGTCTCTCCGTCCAGCCCCTCACCCGAGCCTCAGGTGTGCCCCAGCTGTATTTGGGGTGGTCTCCTCGCCACCCTCGGGGTGAGCACCGCCAAGAGCTGAGCGGTCAGCCCCACCGCCGCCCAACCTACTGGAAATCAGAAGACAGACAGCAGTCTCTTACCTATGCTGTCTGTTCCCACCCAGAGGGGAAACCCCCAGCTCGTGTTTTCAAGCACCTCCTTAAAACCACAAAGCCCTCTCTCGGCACGGGGGAGATAGAGGAGATAAAAGCCTGAGACAAGTCATGGGCCTTAGGTTTCAAAAAAAGAGATTAAAGTAGCACATACCCGCCAGGAGAAGGGTGAGTGAAGCCGTCAGTCACAGTCCCTGCTCAGGAAGAAACCCTCCCAGGGCCAAGCAACCCCCTCCAGAAAGAGACACTGAGGGGCAGCCCCTTTTCCTCGGCAATCCCTTTCCAATTCCCCACTGGGGAGGGCCGAGACTCCCACCGCCCTCTCCTTGTAGCGCTCTATTCTCCCTCCTCAGCACACAATGGGGCAATCCCTGGCTGGGTCTTATTCCACATCCCTTACCAGCACCCACAGGAATGAACTCCTGTGCCTTCCCACATCAGGGGACTCTCCCCAGTCCCATATGACTTTCTTTTCCTTTCTTCCTTCCTGCCTTCCTCCCTCTCCCCTAACAAAGGATAGTTATCCCCAGTCAGTAAAGATGGCAACCCCACACCCCGGTGGGAAGTGAGCAGCCCTGCAGGGCAGCAGGGACCGGACCTGCAGGCTCATGGGCGCGTGAACAGGAGCACCAGGCTCTCTGGCCAGGTGTCCCCCCTGGCAGCATTTCAGCTCATACCAGCCTCCTCCTTTGTTCACCACAGTTCCCCCCACCAGGACTAAAGCCTCGACAAAGTGGGAGAAAGGGAAGAGGGGAATTTGGACAGGCCCAACAGAACCTGCATGCGGGTCAGCGTGTGCAATGCCTGTGCAGGTGGAAGACCTTGCGCTTGAAGTTGAATGGGGAACACGGAGCATCTCTACAGGGAACAGAGGGAGGGAGGGAGGGAAGTAGGGAGGGAGAGAGGGAAAAAAAATATCGTGTGAGTGCAGAGTTTGCAAAATGAGCTGATGGTAAATAGCTGGAGGATAGACAGCGTCTCTGTACGTGAGGCGCAGCACGGAGAACTGCACCTGAGCGAGGCTGGGCCACTGCTCGCTCCAGCATCACACGTCACTCACTGATGCATCCTCCCCAGCCTGCTCTCTGCACCAGCTCCCCCGCCTCCACCACGAAAATGCAGTGGGAAAAATGGGTTCCCCCCCACGCTCAGTGCAGCCACAAAGCAGAGAGCTGGGAGAAGCACAACTGAACTTCATTCAAGGTCCAGCAGGTGCCTGCCAAGGGAGATTCAGTACCACGAACCTCCTGATCCCCTTTTCCTGCTGGGAACCCACAGCCCCTTGAGCTCAGTGTCTCCCCACGCCCCTGCTCAGCTGCTTTCTTCCCTGAGCAATGGCAGCCGTGTTTGCCAACACTCGCTGCTCACTAGTGCTGCTATCCAAGGCCCTTTGTTCCCCTCGTCGTGCAGCCTTCCTTTGCATTCCGCAGCCAGACACCGAGGCCCGACACAACTCGTCTCACCTGGGGTGCTCCAGAGGGGCGGCCATCAGCTTTCCCCTCCCTCCCCTGCAAGACCAGGCGAAACTCACACAGCGCCTGGAAACGTGTCTCCCTCCCTACGTGGGAAAAGGAAAAGAAGCCATCCTTTCCCTGGAGGGAGGCGCGCTCAGGGGTGTCGGTGACTGCAAACCCTGCCCCTCATTTGCAGTTTTGCCAGGCGTGCTCCCCAGGCCCGCCGGGATCGCCGGTCCCACGGGCGGCAGCCGGCGGTCCCGCAGCCCGGTTCCGTGGGAAGGCAGCCCGGCACCCGCCTGACACCCTGTGGCCGCCTGCCGCCTTGCAGGGACGTGGAGCGGGACGGGGATGGGAATGGGAATGGGTATGCTGCGTGGGAGGGGACACACAGGGTCTCTTAGCAGAGCAAAGCCGACAGGAGCAGGGAGAAACCACAGACCGGGCACATGCCTGGCTCCTGCCACCCGCCATGCAGGGATGAAATGCTGCATACTTTAATAAGGCAGCACACATGTGTCCCAGCAGTTTCTGTAAGTGCCCATGGATTCAGCCCAGCACGTCCAGGAGCAAAAGAATTTCAATTTACTGCTAGCTGATGCCACAGGTTCATATGAGTGTACAGGCCCTTCTGCTCTACGGCAGCACGTGACAGCAGGGGCTGCTGTAATAATGCCCCAACAGAGGATCTTAGGAGCCTCCTAAGAACATTCACATGGGTTTCAAACTCCTCAGAGAGTCTTCCTTAATGCACAGCAAGGCCTTTCCCTGCTCCTCTCTGGCTTTACTCCAGAAGGATGAATTTCTGCTTTCCAAAGCACAAGGGTTGGGGTCTCTGCAGGGGACCAATCAATCCCACAGGCTGCCCACTTGTTGCATCCGCATGGGAGGTGTGAGTGTCACAGTGACCATGTGTGGCGTGTGTCCTGCCCAGGTCGGGATGGGGGACGCGCTCGTGCACGAGTGCCACACCCGGCAATTTCCACTGCTCAGTGCTAAGCCTGCAGCACGTCTGAGGCGCCATCAGCAGCTATGCGGCTGCAGGACCCCAGCCCAGGGAAATTCCTGCAGCAGCTGTGGGCGGAGCTAGCACTCACCCTTCTTAGGGAAGTGGGAGGAATAGCTCCATGTGGTGCTCCAGGGGACTTACTGATCCTTAGCAGCCCCCTCTTTTCTCATCCCTGGAAAAGCTGCCAGTACACTGGGGACAGGGGGAGGTGAAGGTGTTTTTCTTGAGAGCTAAGCCACCTTGGAGCAGGAGGCCCTTGCTCCAGATGATCTCCTAGGTAACCCAAATGAAGCCCTGCAACCTTGATAGAAAAGCTTATCTCCATTTAGGAGGGAATCCTTTGCGTACTCTTACTGAGCTGCCTCCCGTCTCCGTTTTACAAACCCCAGTGGAGTGCCCACCCTTACTCCTCTCAGAGCCTTGGAGAGAGTCCTCCAAACCCCACCAAGCATGGCGCATGGCTGCCGGCTCGATGCTCCTGCAGGAACATCAGCCGCGCCCAGGGAGCTGGTGATCCCTACTCGCAGCATTCATTCCCGGCCTTCCCTGGGCATCCACAGCTCCGCAGCCCCTGCAGGGAGAAAGGCCCTGTCTCATTCCCAGGCCTTCTTGGGGCAGAGCTCCCCCTTGCTGAGAGCTCATTGGCAGCAGGGCAGTGAAGCCACCAGCTGCTTTCTCTGCCCTGACTTTCTCTGCCTGCAGCTTGGAGAGATTTTGACCTGATACTCTGCCCCCGCACGTCTCTCTGGCTGGAACCCAGCGGGAATAAGCGGAGACATTCAGATGATGCATCGCAGGGGAACCATTTTAATTAAAAGCGATGCTTTGGTCAGCGGGGTATGGACTTCTTTGGGAATATAGAGAGGAGAAGTGAGCTGGGTGAGTAATGGAGCAGGGGGTGGAGGAGATGTGCCTTGTCAGGGTTAGCTCTGAACTCAGCAGTTTGCCAGGGAAGTGGAAAGTGGCAGGACGAGAGTTCTATCCTCAGAGGCCTTTCCGTGGGGCTGGTGCTCTTGGCAATGCTTAACAGTGTCCTGAAAGCCTGGTGCAAACTGGGGTATGCCCTCCCCCCAAACTCAGAGCGTTTGCTGCTCCCTGAACACCAATCGCTTTCCCAGCAGAGAGAGGGGATGTCTGTGCACTGCTTACGGATGTTTAGGGGTACAGGGACCTCATGTTAACTCTCTAGCTCTGCCAGAAAAGAAATCTAAAAGCTCAGCAGGGCCCTGCACCAGGTGGATTAGTGCAGCACAGTGGGGAGCCACTGCAGCCACAGCCACCTCCTGTAGGTGGGAATCACCACAAGGCCCGATGTCCTGCTGCAATCTCAGGTGCTGTGTTTGCAGCTCTGCTGGCAGAGGGGATCCAGCACTGCTGGAGTGTTAAGACCAGAAATTACTTGTGACGGGGAGTAGGGTTTGAGAAAGAATTAAACAAGGGGATTCTTCCTCATGCAGAAGTGAGAAATCCCCTGCGACTGGGAAGCTTGAAAGAGGGCCAAGCCCTGGTGTCCATCCTAAAAAGCCTCTCTTAGGCTGGTTTTCTAGCTAGAGCCTAGTCCATGCTGGGCATCTTCCTGCCTTCACATAAGATGCTCTGGGAAAAGCTCCCAGACACTAAACCACACAATTTTAAATTACCAGGAATGGTTTTCCATTCAAACACCCACTAGGTCTGTTTTCTGCTCCTGGGACTGCCATGGAAAACCACATCCAAGCCCTGCATGCTGCATGCACCTGCCCACAGCCTCCCTGGAGGAGTCAGAGGTGGGGCAGCCTCCAGCCTGGCACAGAGGCAGGTGCCATGATGGCAAGAAGTGCCACACTCCTGTCCCAGCAAGGATGTGTCCCACCACCTTCCTACCTTGGCTAGCAGCAGCCTGGCCATGGGGCCAGCACTGAACCCACCACATGAACCACAGTTATATCTCAGGTAACGTGGGGAGCATTCCCAGGTTGCTGGGAAGAGCCATATTCACCGATCAGCAATAGCAAGACAGAGGGAGCATGGCAGCAGGATGGGTGGCATAGTGGAGGTGGGGAAGTTATGCCACTGGACCGTGGCAATGCCTGGTGAGACAGCGAGGAAAGGGTGGAGAGTGACTACGTGATGCTTCGCAGGGAGAACTGATCTTATTAATAAAAGCTGCTCCTTCCCAAGGCCTTGATAATCTCTCCTGCTGCAGATTATTTACAGCTGTGGAATTTAATACTCCAATGAACAAAGCTCTCTGAAGCACAGAGGGAGCGAGCAGACTGTTAACCCTTCTGCATGGCACCAGGGGCTTTCGGCTCAGGTTTGATGTCTCAATGCAGCTGAGCCACAGGCTGCCACAGCCCCAGCAGATCTCAGCACCTATGAGGCCAGCATTCAAGCCAGGCTGAGACTTGGTAGAAAGTCAAGTCAAAGAACATTCAAACTCCTGGATTCTGTTAATTAAAAAGGCAGGCTGGTGAATAGCACTTGCAGGCAGAACTTGGGCAGGGCTGGGGGGCTGTGTTGCCAGTGAGGTGCTGGTGCATTACACCACCAGGTAAGCACTTGACCTTATAGGTACTGGGTCAGTAAATTCAGCCTCCAGGGTGAGGAGATTGTCAGCCCTAGGTAAGTTATCCACCCCTGACGTTCAGTGCCAGGTGTGTGAAACTGAGTCAGCTGAGACCTGGGAGCCTTGCTGTGAGTCTGCAACGCTGCTGGGGACACAATTGCAGCACAGCCCTCCTGGTGCCTTCCCTGGGACCACAGCACCCATGGCTAAAGTGGATGCATTAGAATATGCTCTGCAATATAACCTCTTCCTCAGTGTGTCTTGAAATCTCGTGCATCTCAAGAGGACAGCATAGGAACCATCAGACTTGGCTTATTGCCTGAATGGCCCCTTAAATACAGGTGATTGGGAGGGGGAGATAATAGGGTGGGCTTGAGGCACAGCCTGGCGAAATCAGAGGTGAGGGATGTACAGGAAGGATTGGGTAATCATATGGGCTTGTCCCAGCAGTGCGTGGGCCTGGTTTGGGCGTATGCATTGCTGAATGGGGTGGGCACAAGACAGCAACTAGGGTAAGGAGCTCACAGATGGAGAAAGAAAGGCAAACACCAGCCTCATTTGCATGCTAAAATCTACTGACCACCCCATAACAAAGTGGCAGATTTTGGAGCCATGAATGCAGCCTGGGTTTGGTCTGCACCTCTCTTAGCCTGCCCGTACTTCAGACATTCCCAAAGGACCACACAAATTGTTGGTCTAGTTCTGCATAGTATCCTTTAAAGGGTCACAGTAGCATCCCTGCCATAAACTAAGTAACTATAATCTCTAGACATGATAAACCGCCCCTATCCACCCTCTCTAGTCCATATAGGAAAAAGCAGAATTCTTGTGGGATCTTTTGTCCCCACAGTCAGTAAAAGCCTGGCTGCTGAAGTGTAGGAAACACAGAGCCTGTGCACCAACTCTGGAGTCCCTTGGGGTGGTAGTCCCTTTATATCTCAGCAGCACTCAGCCTTTGCACAGCACCAGAGCAGCACAGAATACCTGCCCTAAAACCTCAGCATATGCCTCCCAGGTTATGCAGCCCCCTTGCTCTGAACTTGACACCCTCTCCTGACAGTTCCTCTCCCTGCCCTGTAATGCCTCATGCCAAGGATTTCTCAGGGCTCTTCCCCATCCTTCTACCACTCACAAAGGAGTAGCTGGAGGCTGTAGAAAGTAGTTTAGCTCAGCCTTAGGTGGCCCAAAATTTGCACAGGACAGCCCATTAATGTTGCATCTCTCCATTCTTAAAAGTCTTAATGTTTGTTCAGCTTCCCACAGAAACACAAGGTACTGCCTGCCAGCTATCACTCCACATTGGCAGTGTTTAGCTCTGGAGTTTTCCTGCAAGCAAGGCAGGCTGGCAAAGTGGAGACACCAGCAGGGAAGGGAGCACAGAGAGTAGGGGAAGGGTGGATCCCGCCCCACAGAGCCTGATGGGTGTTTGGAGATCCTCCCCTGCAGGCAGGAGGACAGCCCGGCTTCCCTCTCCCCTAGGTTCCACTGCCTGAGCTGTCAAGCCTTCCTGAGGAAACTGCCTCTGCAGGGCTGCATTTGATGCCCTGGAGGTCCCCATGTCCTCAGCCCACCCCACTGCAGGTGAGGCCTCCTGGGAACCTATTCCTCCTCCACAAGGCAGAGCTGAGGCAAAGTGTCGGGCTTGTGAAGCCAGTTAAACCAGCTATGTGCAGATGTTAGCATTACGAAACACAGATT